CACAACTTGGGTATTATTCCCATATTTTCTACCAGATGTCTTTTTTCATTCTGTACACATAAATGTATTAAAAATCCATTGATTATCTATTCAAGAAATTGTGCTAGGCATTGTTTAGAAATCAGAGTTGAAAGAGAAAGCATCTGTCCTTGGAGAGAATATTTATATCATGAGACAAGACATAGATAATTCAAAAAAATACAATAGTCTCAAACTGTTATAGTATTAATTGGTATGTCAGTGTTGTAGAAAATACAACCTTTGTATCCAGAAGAAAAAAGGTAATTGTGGATTATAGGAGTTTTGGCGTTTTGCTCTTTGTCTTCATGATAATACCTTATAATTGATTTTTAAGGATGATTATTTTGTTTTATAAAAGAATACAAGTTTACTACAAAAATATAAGTAATATGGAAGAGATTTTAAAAAAGAAAGCAATATATCTCTTATGATCTTATCTTCCTTGAATAACTTGCTAACAATCAATAGAATGATTTTAAGTAGATGCTTGGGGAGTGGTTGTTTAAAAATGAGATCATATTCTATATGCTCTTTTTAAACAAAATAATTTAAATTAATATAAAGTAAAATTGAAGGACATATTAATTTTCAGATAAAAATCTTTACTTGGAATACTCTAAATTATTCATAACTGTTTAGGGAAAATGGTGATACAGAACTAGCAAATGGGATCATTTTTTTAACTTCATATTTTGAACTTAGGAGGTATTAAATAACTAAATTCTATGAAAGATGAGGTTAATATTTTATACTATGTTTTCCCCAAATGCTCAGCTTTCCCATTCCATGATTACTTTTATTTCAAGATGTTTAACATCTGCATTTTGTAGTGCAAGCATAATCCCCTTGATACTTGCTTTTGTTCTGTATGTACTTGTATTCAACTTACCATGTCTTCTTTTGTTAAACTTTCACATTTCCATTTTGTTTACTTTGGTTCTTCTTTTCTTTTTAAACAATTTTTTAATGTTTTTTATTTATTTCTGAGAGAGAGAGAGCGAGCAGGGGAGGGTCAGAAAGAGAGGGAGATACAGAATTGGAAACAGGCTCCAGGCTCTGAGCTGTCAGCACAGACAGCTCGAACCCACGAACTGTGAGATCATGATGTGAGCCAAAGTCGGACGCTTAACCGACCGAGCCACCCAGGCGCCCCTACTTTGGCTCTTCTATTTGTTGCCCAGATTTTCCTGTTATTTAAATTTTGATTATGGTTTCACTTGCATATTGAACAATGATAAAACGTTTGTATTGAAAGCCATTGGTCCACTGTTCTCCTCCTCATCACAATTCCATTCCCCATAGAACCCCAGGAACCACAGCTCTTTCACATTTTTCTTTTTTGTTATTCTAGTCCATCTTTATAAAAGATACATCTACATACTACTTTTTGATTTACTAATTCCAACTAGTATCTGTTTTCTGTTGTGTGCTAGATAAGGATTTTAATCTTCTTTAAATATTTATTTTTGAGAGATTAGAGAGAGAGTGAGCACTAGCAGGGGAGGGACAGAGAGAGATGAAGAGAGAGATAATCCCAAGCAGGCTTTGTACTCTCAGTGCAGAGCCTGATGTGGGGCTTGAACCCATAAACTGTGAGATCATGACCTAAGTCAAGATCAAAGCTCAGGCACCTAACTGACTGAGCCACCCAAGTGCCCAGAGGATTTTAATCTTAGTTATCTGATATTTAAATCTCAATTTCTAGTTAAATAATCAGTCATTTTTTACATTATTATGATGGTCAGTCCATTTAGGCTGCTCTAATAAGATACCATAGACAGGGCGGCCTAAGCAACAAACGTATGTCTCACAATTCTGGAGGCTGTAAGTCTGAGATCTGGGTGTCAGCTGATAGATTTCTAGTGGTAACCCTCTTCCAGGATGCAGATTGCTGACTTCTCTCTGTGTCCACACGCAGCAGGAGGGGCGAGGGAGCTCCCTGGAGCCTCTTTTACAGGGGCACTCATCTCATTCATGAGGGCTCCACCCTCATGACCTAATCACCCCCCTAAGGCGTCACGTCCAAATACCATCACACTGGGGGTTAAGATTTCAACACATGAATTTGGGGGAGGACATAAATACCTAGTCCATGACAATGATTATATACACATTTACACTATATCAAAATAGTGTATAATGATTCTACTTCCTTTTATAACTCTCAGGCATTTTGTTTGTTTTGTTTGCTGCAACTAATTTTAACTCATTGTGCTAATTAGCTCATTTTGCATTACGTGCAAAAGATTGTAATATGCCAATCCCGAATTTTTTTAAAGTTCTATCAGAACTGTCAAACTCCTATTCTTTGTGTTTTTTCCTCAGCTTTTCAAATAGAGGAGATAATCTTAGAGTTGCTGTATTTCCTCTGGATCTCCCTCCCCAAATTCTCCATTCACCTGTGATAAGTCCCCACTGGTCTCTAGGCCTCTTGAACACCTGTCATCATGGAACTTTCTTATTTTGATGCTTTACTTCTTTTATTGTAGCATAACTTACCTGTACAATCTAAGATACACAGATGAATAAGCTTTTATATATGTGTATTTTGTGTGACAGCATTCAGACCAAGAGAAGGACATTTCCAGAGTCCTGGCAGGTTCTCCCATACCTGTTCTCATTCGTGTATCCTATGCCCAGATATTCTATCTATGTCATCACGGACCTTTTTGTTTTTCTGTCTTTGAACTTCATACAAATACAATCATACAGTATAAACTCTCTTTCTTCTTTCATTCCATATTATGTCTTTGGATTCATCCATGTTGCATGTAGCACTGTTCATTTTCACTGCTGTACAATATCATATTCGATGGTATGGATATACTAAAACGTTATTTTTGCAAGAATTTTCTTATAATTCTTGGCTTGAAGTTGCTCTGAAGAAATCTATGATCATTTTAATATTTTCCTCCTCCTGCGTAATTTGCTTTTCCTTCCTGAATATGTGGAGACATTTTACAATAATCATTAAACCTTAGGGCAATTTAATCAAGATAGGTTTTCCTTAACAATTTTTCTTAGAACATGATCATTCCCCACTGATACATGGAACTGATTCCTTTTTCTTTATATTTTAAGGACTTTTAAAATTATGTTTTAACGTATTTTAATGTGTCTTTTATTCTCTTGTACTTCAGCTTTTAGATTGTCTTTATATTGAACCTTTTCCTTGTTTGACTCTTACCCAGATATACCATATTTTCTCCAGCTGTTTTCACCCTGTTCTCTTTTTTGCATTTACTATAAAAAATCAAGCTTTTCTTTTAGTCTAGAAATTAAAATATTATCTATGTTTAATCTGGTTATTGCTTTTTCTAATTTATATATTATCTGGATAGTAGTACTGTTTTGGCTCTCAGCTTGTCTCCTTACTCTTATATCATTTTAAATGATACTTTTTTTAAAAAGTTAAATCAACTTGTCTTTGAACTATGGTCTTATTTAATCTATGATCTTTTTATACTATAGATAACTTTTATGGAATTTTGCCCCCTGCTTATGATATCTACTAGTCTTTGCATGCTGTGTTACTTTTATTATTTTTATGGTTATATTATCACTGTTAATATTATTTGCCATAATCTTTTCCATAACTAAAAATTTGTGTTGCTAATCTTTTCATCTGGCTCGTGTTTCTCTTAGCTCTGTTTAGGCTTCCTGTTTGCTTAACATTGTGTGGACAAATTGTTTTTAAATTCTCCTCCCTATCTTTTTTGCTACTTGTATTTTTCCTTCCAAGCTACAATTTGGCTGACAAAATTGATAGTCTAGTATTTTATGGCCTTAAGGAAAAGCAGAGGAGAAGCAAAGTGTCCTGCATTATAGTCTGGGTTATAGTCTCTAATGAGACCTGTTATTTTTTTTTTTGTTATGTTTATTTATATTTGAAAGAGAGAAATAGTGTGCGAATGGGGGTGGGGCAGAGACAGGGAGACCCAGAATCTGAAGCAGGCTCCAGACTCTGTGAGCTGTCAGCACAGAGCCCGATGCGGGGCTCGAACTCAGGAGCCATGAGATCATGATCTGAGCCAAAGTCAGACACTTAACTGACTGAGCCCCTCTAATGAGACCTGTTAAATGGTGTCTCCCAGACCTGTCTCCTCTGCCCAAGGATGCACTTGGGTTCTTGTGGAATTTGACTGGCTTTCCTGATTCACCATGGGCCCTGGCTTGTGGAGAGGCCTCTCCTACTTCTGCAGACACCCCCAGATGGGGGAGAGATTCATAAGCACCCTGCTGGTTTTGGTGATGACTCAAGTTTCGTTATCAGTATTGACTATGGGATCAGGGAGAGGTTTAGGATTACTGCTATCCCGTCACAACCTTCTGATTATTTCATCAGCAAGAAATTTAACTTATGACATGCAGTATAGTACCTCCTTATTTGGTTTCTGCTATTGAACTTGTTTCTTTTTCAAATTTTTATTTTTTTGGTATTCTGAGCATGGAAATTCTGTCACCTATCTTTACGCACTCATCTTTGCCTGAAAAAAAGATTTCAATGTTCTTGAGTGTAAATTCTCTCATATCTTCACAGAACAATCTGATTCCTTAGGCAGGGCCTATTTATTTTTTCTGTTGAGTTAGAGGATGAAGAAACAATAGTTCAAAGGAGTTAAATACTGTGATCTAGGTAAATTTTGTGGTTACTGGCACAGCTGTGCCTGGTAGCCCAGCTCCCTGTAATCCCACAGAACATTCTTTTCATCCTACCATGAGATTTCTTTTATTTCGATTGAGCATCCTGGTTCACTTTGGTACAATGAGTAGTGTACTTGCACAAAGCATGAATGGTGTTGACTTAAAGGATTAATTTAATCCTGTATGACTGTGATGGGGATAACATGAATTATATTATTGGTCCTGTAATATTATATTCCCTAAAGAGTATGTAAAAATATTTGAGGTTAGTAATATAATCTGCTGTTAGCATTTCAAACATAACAAAATTAATACATTATTTTCTCTTTTTCCAGAAAATACAAAAGACATCCTAATGATATATGGAGAAGATGCTGAGGAATGGGCTCTGTACTTGAGGGAAGTCTTTTTACATGTTGTGAAAAGGGAAGCGGTCCTGTTATATCACTTGGAGAACTACTCTTTTTGGGATCTGGAATTGCTTAGTTTAAGCTCTTACAAATGTAAATTTTTGATATTATCAAATAGCCTGCTTAAAGACCTAACTCCAAAGAAATGTCAGTTTCTGGAAAAGATACTTCATTCACCAGAAAGTATGGTTACTCTGCTGTGTGGGGTGAAGAGTTCAGATCAGCTCTACAAATTATTAAACATCACCGGAGGCAGATGGGAGATGTCTACTGAGCAGGAACCCGAAGATTACATCGCTGTAATCGAGAGTATCATATTCAAAGGTAGTGTTGCCAAATCTTCTTTATATTTTTTTATAATTAAGAAATTTAAAGGGCTTCTTTTTTGAACCAATGGAAAACCAATATTAGGATACAAAAGAAAATGAACAACGAAAGTTAACTTTATTTCTATGTATGTTACACTTTTCTCAAATGGATGATGGTTCTTAATTTTTAGCTACATTCCATTTTTTAACATTTTATTTTTTTGAGAGACAGAGACAACATGGGGAGGGGGAGAGTGAGAGGGGGACACAGAATCCAAAGCAGGCTCCAGGCTCTGAGCTGTCAGCAGAGAGCCCGACGTGGCTCAAACCCATGAACCATGAGATCATAACCTGAGCTGAAGTTGGACGCTTTACTGACTGAGCCACCCAGGTGCCCCCCCACCCTTTTCTTTCTTTCTTTCTTTCTTTCTTTCTTTCTTTCTTTCTTTCTTTCTTTCTTTCTTTCTTTCTCTCTCTCTCTCTTTCTTTTTCTTTCTTTCTTTCTTTCTTTCTTTCTTTCTTTCTTTCTTTCTTTCTTTCTTTCTTTCTCTCTCTCTTTCTTTTTCTTTCTTTCTTTCTTTCTTTCTTTCTTTCTTTCTTTCTTTCTTTCTTCTTTCTTTCTTTCTTTCTTTTAGCTACATTCCAATGAAGTATTATTAGTTGTTCTAAAATGGTTTACAAATACATTCCTTAGGGTAGCCTGTATGTGATCACACTTGGTAGAACAAATATGGTAGGCTATATATACTATATGTCGTTTGGTTCTAGAAGCTGGTTTCTTGCTTAACTGGTGAGACTTGAGTTAATATCTACCCTGGTACTGTTACCAATCAGTGGCAGTCCAAGCCTTGAAGGCCTGCTTTAGAATTACAGATCTTCTGCTGTGCTGATAACTGTATGATATCTATTATCATGGTATGAAATATTGTTTCTTTTATTAGTTTTAAATTAAAAATTTAGTTTTAATCACATAGCCACATGTTAAAAAGCAGAACACAAAGTTCCTCTTCATTAATTAATTACAGTTCCATGTAATAGTCAAAACTGTGAAGCTGTCTAACATTAAAGTTTGTCCCTCCCCTGTCTCTTCTGCCTCAGCCTGGTGTGGACACAGTGATGTGTCAGCCACATTCCTGGTTTTCTCAAGTCGTGTTCAGCCTTTTGTCCCCAGTGTTGGGTGTCCCCAGTGTCCCCAGCACTGGTTCCCTCTTGTACAGGGAAGAGGTGGTGTTCTTACTTTCTTTTGACCATATCAAATATTAAGTGTGGCCTCTTCTTGGGGCTTATTTCTGGGTTCTTTGAGTTCCCCTCATTCACTGGTGTCACCTACTGCTCCTCACTGAGATGAATGTGCCCTCTCTTCAAGCTCCTACTTACGGTGGTCCACCTGCTATGGTTTCTTACTGTTCATATCTATGGCTCCCTCACCTGTCATTTTGATGAAAGCACTCTGACATGTCTCCTCGCTGGCCTTTTCTACCACTTGGCCCACATCTGTCTCTAAAAACACTTGTGTCTTTTCCCTGTCAAACTCTGGGGTATGTGCCATTTTCAGTATACCCTACACTATCCTACCCTGGGAGCAGCTACACAGCCATAGTGTCTTGCCTTTAGTCATTTCCAAACATGGGTCTAGCACGAATCTTGTTCTGCAAATCCAGAGAACAGATGCCAATCACAAGAGGTTTGCTGGAGGCCCTTGTCACTGTTCTTGAAGATGGTGCGATCCATTAGTCTTTCCCATGGGGGGATGGTAGGGTGCACAGCACACCAACAACTCTCTTTCAAAATTCCTCCTGGGGCGCCTTGGTGGCTAAGTCGGTTAAAGCATCCGAATCTTCCTATCAATTGAGGTCATGATCTCACCATTTGTGGGATCGAGCCTTGCATCCTGGCTCTGCACTGGCAGCGCTGAGCCTGTTTGGGATTCTCTCTCTCTCTCTTCCGCTCTCTCTGCCCCCTCCCCCACTTGTGCGCATGCACACTCTCTCTTTTTCTCTCTCTCTCAAAATAAAAAAAAACACATTAATTTAAAAAAATCCTCTTCCTATATTTTACATTCCAACATCTTCAAATTCAGTAGATTCTAAGCCTTGTTTTATAGTTATCTATTGTTGCATAACAAATTACCCTAAAATTTAGCAACCTAAAACAGCAGATGATGATTGTATCACAGTTTCTACAGTTAAGGAATCTAGCAGCTGCTTGGCTGGAGGTTGTGGATCAGGGTATCCTGCGAGGTTGGAGTCCAGCTGCCCGGAGACCCAGTCATCTGTCCACTGGGGCAAGATTTATTTTTAACAGGAGCTTACCTTGTAGGCTAGTTTGTTATTATTTTTTAAATCATCTTGTTGGATGAAAGTCACCCCTTATAGATTCCTGAGGAAGGGCCTTTGGAAGCAATGTTTCTGAAATCTTGTGTATTCAGAATGCTTGCATGTTTGTTTCTTGGAGTATAGTTTGGCTGAGGGCCATGTCGCTCATCTTTCTTTTAGCATTATAGAGTTTAGATAATTCTTATTTACCTGGCTGAATAAATAATTCTTGATTTATATCTGAAGTCTAGTGACTTTCACTAGAATTTTATCCTAGTGCTGACTGTTCAGAACTATTTTGCCCATAGACATACTTATTTTTGTGTTTGTTTTTTGTTTCAGTCTTTCCAAGATGGAAAGCATTCAAGCATTCTTGACTTATATCTTTAAATTTTTGTACTATTACTATATTATTTGCACTATTTTATTATTATTTTCTTTTTCGGGCATTCCTTTTATATGTATGTTGGGTTTATGTTGTCTGTGTTCTACTCTACAGTTTTTCTTGAATTCTTTGGCATTTATTATTAATATATATTTATTTAGTTTGTGTCTACTACTTCAGTCCTTACTACCTTCTTATGCTTTCAGTACTCTCTCTTCCTCTGTATTACTTCCAATTTCTCCTTCATTTTTATGGTACTTTTCCTTTTTTCCATTATGCCATTTGGTTGAGCAGTGGAAGCTTACAATTGATCCTTTGTTCTTGTACTATTAACCTCGCCTTCACATGTTGCATTTCTGCTGTGTATAATTGCTTGAAAAAGATGATTGTTATTCATTACATTTAAAAAATTCATGGTGAAGTATTTGGCCACAATTTTCAGCTTCTCTTATGGTAACATATTTTTAGTATGTGTTTCCCTGTGTGCCACTGGTTTTCTGCACACACACCCCCCACTCCCCAACTCCCCCACCCCTTTCTCTTGCTCTTGTAGTATCTTTATATAGATCCCATGTGGTCTTGTTTCTCTTCTGTATCACCGAACTGAGTGAGTTTTACTTGGTCTAGCCAAAGGAGAGAGGCAATGTGGGTTTTGCTGTTTGTTTTGTTCTGTTTCTCCCACGTACAATGTAAGACTTGACTTCTCTGTTTCCACAGATATAGACTGCTTTTATAAATCCATCTTTTCTGTAAAGTTCCTCATTTAGCCTCACTTTCTCTGCGTTTCAGAGCCGTACTGCTTCCACAGATACTTCTACCTGAGACTGCTGCACTGTGTCTACAATATAAAGAGGCATGGCTCCTGGACTTAAAGAAGGTTATATTTTTTAGCTCTTTTTGAAATCTGCAGCTTCTGGATTATTTCTTCAAGGTTTTTTTCTTTATTTCCGCCTGCACACCCTTTCACTCAGTCTTCACTGATTTAGGAACCATTCCATTGACCCGGAGGTCTAGGATTTCACTGTTTCCCATTTTTAATAAATAGGGCATTTGCATAATTATTTTCTGTTCTCTATGTTTTGGAATGATTTCCAGTAATAAAAAGGAGGAAACGTTGACTCGGCATTACAATTTTCAAATTGGCAGTCCTCAAGTTTCCTATAATCTCTGTTTTTTTCCCTTTTTTTTACTACTCCCCAAGTACATTATGGGGTCTTTTTGTTTATAAAGGGAAAATGTTACAGTTGGAAATTATGGAAAAAATGACAATGATGCACATAAAGTACAAGTGATTTTATGCCCTGAGACAGAGGAGCACTAAAAATTGGTGGCACAAATTTTGTGTGGTTCTCCACAGCCATCGTTTCTATTTCCTGGAAGAGCTCAGGTTGTTTTGACCACTTAAATTATGATGTTACTGGCAGGTAAAAATGTCGAAGACTATCTTTTTGCTGTTTTACTTATTTTATTTTATTTTATTTTATGGTGATTACCTTTGAGTGGCTATGTCAATGGTGCTCTGCTATATCTTCAAATTATATTTCCATTGATATTTGATAGGGGTAAAGCTTACACTTTATGAACAACCTAGGACTATTTTGAAGACTATTTTGAAGCTCCCATTTTTTAGTTTTCAGTTTTAGACTCTGATTTCTTAGAGTAACTGAGATGCACCTACCAAATGGAAAATACAAAAAGTTGCATGGGAAAATACATTCCAAGATGATAAGTTTGCCTGAACTACAAGCATGCAATCAGATGTAGATCCATATGGAATTTGCAAACCATGCATAAGAGAACTTTTATGTGTAGGTGGTGTCCTTTGACAAAACTGATTTTAAATGCTGCAGTTTAGGCAATATTAATTTTTTTTCATAAACAGTGTAAGTGGTCTTCTAAAATATGTTGTCCCATATTGCTGTTGCTGTTGAATGTTGCTCTTTGTTCTTTATTGTGACATCTTTTGCTTTTAGACATTTTCAAAGCCTACAGTTTGTTCTGACAGTTGAGTCAGGGCTCTAAAGATTTATTTTATCGTATTCTCATATAGTCTAGTTTTGAAAAATAGATGAAATTAGGTAAAGGTGCGGAATTCAATTTTTATTGTCCCTTTCCTACTCCTCTCTATCCCATAGAGAAATAATACAAAGACGAAAGGAAACTTATTATTCAGAGACATGATAAAGAGAATAATAAAAAAGCCAGAAAGTCATGGAAATAATTAAATGTTCTAATATATTCACATAAGGAAAAGCCAGCGGAGATTTTATAAAACTTAATGAAAAAGAAAGATATTTTATAATTTATCAAGGCACC